CTTGCCCACTCATTGATGTATGTAACGCCTATGCAAAGAGAAAAGCATTGCTTTTACAGGTGACACAGATATGAGCAAAATGTGATAAATGTCCTGGGTGCATCACAGTGCACGAGGGAGTGGCAAAGTGCACTTGTGTCTGTAGTACCTCTGCCATGTAGGCGAACAGGTCATTGGTACAGTCAGCTGCTCTAATGTCACCATGGGACACCATGTATTTCAAATATTGTGCAATGTATAGTGTCCGTGAATAGCAAGGGAATGTCTAGGGGAGAAAAAGGTTATATAACGTAATGAATAGGTGCACTGCTTCAGGGCTAGCATACTGATATAAGGCCACACTTTTGTAACTTTTGGTTTCATGGATTTATTCAAGCTTTTCCACACAAGATCGGAATAAAAGTAAAAATAAATGTCAATTATTTATTTATATATGCTCACCACCAAATGAAACGCGAATCATAGAAACATATAGAGAAGTATGTTTGGTAAGAAGAGATTTGTAACAATTAATGACAAAACTAACAATCAGTCAAGTGTTACCACAGAGTGTCTTTATTCTTATCACGATATGCTGCAAGGGATTTCCAAACCTAACACTCTAATTCTGCACAAGATATATACAGTGATCGCTCGCTATTGCGCTCCCAATGGGGTCCAAATAATTGGTGGGCGTTATAGACGATGAGCCGTTTAACCGAGGCCGAGGCGGGGGAGCGCGCTCGGCAAATCTCAAATCATCAATAGGCCTATGTGTTTATCTCACGTCACGTCAAAATAGTATATATTTTTATGGACCTAGATCTACCTGTAATATCATTCATTTATTAAATCTGTCATATTTCACAATGTCTGAAATACGTATTCCATTCTAATTTATCATTTTTTATCAATAAATTAAAAAATTATTCACTATTTCCCGCGATTTTATTGAAAATAAAATTCTCGGACACACATTTCGACAACGGGTCCGCATCGAACATGTCAAAGAGCAAAATAAAGACTATTTTAAGCAAATCTTTAAATATATTATACAAAGTGATAAATAAAATCAACAAAAATATATCTAAAAGTAATCAAACTTACATCTAAGTTATTATTTCCATCGTTTCGTGCTATCGCGTGTAATGTAAGTCAAATGACATCTCGGCTTTCGTCGCCTTGAATTCTCGGCTCGGACACAACGTTTAATGCAAAAATATATGCATGAAAAATCTTTGTCACAGCTCGTAACCTAGCACGATACATTCGCGAAGTTCCATATTTTTAATATATATCGTGATTTCCTGCTTAAAACGTTCAGAATAACACGATTTAACAAAAAATCTTTCGCTAACTTCTGAAATTTATCAAACACGAGCTTGGTATCACAGCTTGATTGGCTGCCTGAGGTCACGTGCTCAAAATTGACCAATCACGAAATTTGTAGCAGATTTCGGCAAGAAAGCGTCATTAGAAACAAATTTTAATCCAATGAAATCGCTTGTTATAACTACGGGGAAAAAACAGGCGATGTTACGAAAGCGCGATTACGAAATGAATGACCGCCGTGTTGTTACAGCAACTACATGTGTGTGACAGTTTAGCCTTAAATTGGATTGCCCACTAATTAAGAATATAAACTTCGCTTGTGGTTCTCTTTTATTGCATGCATGCGCTTCTAAGATCAAAGGATGTATAGTGTGAAAAGTTAACTAGTTGAACAATCGTATTTCCGGGACTTGCCGCGGATGTTTTCAAACAGATTATTAGAACTCCATTCAGCGATAAACGGTTGATTATGCAATGAGAAGCGTTATGTGCAAATGAACAACGAACAACAATACAATTATGTCTGTGTAAAACTCTCAGTAATAAAAGAGTACATAAATTTTGGGAGCCATGCGTTACCGCGCGTAGTAACCGAGGTAGCGCTTTATCGAAGAGCGCAATAGCGAGCGATCACTGTATCTCGAGTCATGGATCTATGACATACACATGATTTAAACAATATTTATTTCCTAAATAAGGAATGTGATTGTTGAACAGGCAAAACCTATTTAAACACCTCTCCCTACAAAGGACATTTAACAATAAATAAGAGTAAACTGTACATAAAATAATTAGTTTAGATTAATTGTACCTACTGTTGCAAATATTTTGATGCGAATATCCTAGTCACACACAAATACACACATACATATATTGGTACATAACCAAACCGGTGCATCCATGCATATGTATATAGAGAATGCTACACTCATTCTTGTTAGATACCATTTTGAAGAAGTGAGTGAACTTTCTATGGTATCTGACCGAGCGAAAGTGAGGTCAGATACTATAGAAAGTTCTTGTGTTTTGTAAAAATGGTATCTGATGAGAATGAGTGTGGTATTATATTTATTACCAATGTGAAATATATATCTAAGTGTAAATACATAACAACTTTCGTTTGTTGACAGACCAAACTGTAACCAGTTGCAAAATCTGGTTGCACATTTCTGTGCATACGCATTAACAACATGCGCCTGCAGTTATTATTTGCAAACATAACAGCACCGAGGTTCAAAATCCTTTTGGAAGAATTTCTTCAACTAATGGTAATTCAGGCGCCATGTTGTTAGTACGCAGAACACCTATAAGAAAATTTGAAAAGTCACATTAGCGCCACGCTTTGAATATCGAACCAACAGTTGGTCACTCGCACTGACGGTGTCCTGGCTGTGCAATCAAAATAGTTGGGTTTCGTTGATCTATCAGCTGAATTTAAATCATGTTCGTACCAATTTGGAAGAGGGAAATCAGAGTGTTCGTCAAAGACATTCATGTTACTGTACCACCCCATACTGAAGACGTGAAAATCAACAAACTGAAGTCTGCTTGTATGTCAGTGACAGCTTCGAAAGAAGGGCAAGGTTACCACCGGAATAAAGACACCCATGATCTACTTACAGTGTTTTAAGTTAGAGATGGGGAATGTTATTGTTCACATTTGGGATATTTTGGGCCACATAATCAGAAATCAGGCACACATAAAAGTAAAAATAAATGTCAATTATTTATTTATATATGCTCACCACCAAATGAAACGCGAACCATAGAAACATATAGAGAAGTATGTTTGGTAAGAAGAGATTTGTAACAATTAATGACAAAACTAACAATCAGTCAAGTGTTACCACAGAGTGTCTTTATTCTTATCACGATATGCTGCAAGGGATTTCCAAACTTTACACTCTAATCCTGCACGAGATATATATCTCTACCACCCTAGACTGAAGACGTGAAAATCAACAAACTGAAGTCTGCTTGTATGTCAGTGACAGCTTCGAAAGAAGGGCAAGGTTACCACCAGAATAAAGACACCCATGATCTACTTACAGTGTTTTAAGTTAGAGATGGGGAATGTTATTGTTCACATTTGGGATATATTGGGCCACATAATCAGATATCAGGCACACTTCTACGGAGTTTTCGAATGATTTGTATCGGAAATGTTCACTTTGAGAGATCTGGTAGTGCAGTCGTGAACAAACAACTCCCAAAACAGTGCCACAAAACACGCTTCGAAGGGGACACTGATGGCACAACCGGTTCATCCCAAGTAAGTCTTGACATCTGACCAGATAGTTTACACTGACTTCATTTCACAACGCTTTATCCTTTTATATTAAATCAAATTGAAAGTTGCGAAAGTGGTTGGTTGGGTGCGTCACGCTCACGCAATTTTTTATGACTGAAAAGGTCACGTTTATCCAATCAAAACGATTAAAACAAGGTCAACCTTGTACGACACACGTGCGACATGGGGATTCAGTATCTTACCACCTGTATCTTCACCATGTGGGTGACAAACACATATATGCTTGTACACCTGATGTAAAGACATCACATGTGATGCGTTCATGAGCGTCGGTTCACACTACATACCAGTATGTTTGTTTTTGCATTGAACCAGTCTTATATCTCGTGAATATGAGTAAGTCTTTATATATTGACCAACATGTATAGTTTTTACGTTGCTTTTAGCATTGAGTATATATGAAAGTCATTCTGCTGTGGAGTGAAAACTGCAGCAGGCCTCTTGAATCACTGATAGTGACGTAAACATGGAATTTATATGTCACATTTTGTTTTGTATAAGAGGGTCTACATTACCAGCTGGAGACAAAATATAAATTAACATACTTATGTTTGATTTATTTCTTAGACCGGCTACTTTTCAGTTGGGGCGGTGGGCCTGTGAAACGAAAAATAAAAAAGTATGGCCTTATATCGGAAAAGATATGTTACCCGGTACTTTAAAAATAAATCTATTTCTTTTACTTGCTGTGTTTACAATTATATGTATGTATGTATGTATGTATTGTGAATTTACACTTCATAGTGTGCCTACCCTTGTATCGATTTTCAGAAAGTAATATTCACATTGAGGTTTGCCACTTCTCGCCTCTAGCTTCCAATCCAATGTTGAAGTGGATGTGCAAGTCTAAATTAACCAATCATGCACGCTCACAAAAACTGGTTGACAGCAATATGCTGGGCAGAATGAGGCATGAGCAAGTTAATAATAGGAATAGGCTTCTTCTGTTTTGTTATGCTCACTAAAATGTTATGAGAAGAACTACACATTAGTAATGACCAAGTATGGTTGAGTGAACCAAATATTCCTCCCTTAAAATGAGGCATTACATGTTTTGGGTAGCATTTAAGAATTGATGGATTAACTTAATTCATTGGTGGATTATCTGAAATCACTGGTGGATTATCAGCATTTCTTGTTTATGGGACTCAAGTTACCAACTCGTCACGATATGGCTGAAATATTGCCGATGTGACGTAAAGCTTTAACTCACTCACTCAAGTTACCAACAGCTTGAGAGGAGGGGTATACTTGCATGGCAGGTAGTTACTCTGATGAGAGCACAACCTTACCTTGGGGTTTCGGATTTCACATCATGTGTTAATTGCCCAAGTTCATGAAGGCGGAACAAGTTGTGGTGTGTGAGTGAGAGGCCTTCCTCTAGGTCTACCGGCCATGCTGAGTGGGGCCAGTTCTGTCAGCTGCTCTCCTCAGGGAAAACAACAGCACTGGACAGTAATCGGGCCAGTCCACTCTCCACCAGCTGTCACACAGGGGTGCAAGGCAGTTGTCTGGCTCACTGCCTCATTGTGGGAACCCGCAGTGATTTCAGTTTCTAGCATTGTCATGAGTCCTTGAGTTTGTCTGTACCAGTTATTGATTTGAATGTGTTCTGTATGCCAGTGTCACCCTTGTCACTTGGTGTGTTGGTGACACCTCTCCCTGCCTCCCTGATAAGCGACACTCTTTGGGAATGGACTGTGCCAGGGGTTGACCTACATAACCCTTCTATTACTTTGTAGAGACATCTCATCGCAGTAGGAAGACAGAGCTAGTAGAGACTGTCTCACTATAACTCATTCCCGCATTGGTTGGATCGTTAACAGCTGTAGAAGAAAACATGTCATGGTATCACATTGATAGGTGTACCTGTGTTGTGTGTTGAGTGTTGGATAACTTGTTGTATCACATGCCCTGATATAATGGCTACTTCTCCTACTTCCGAGCTGTCTGTTCCTCCATACTTTAGTCGAACATCATCACTTCGCAGATCCTCAAAAAAGAAACAAGGATTCGCTGCACGTAAGTAACAACATAAAGATTTACATGAAATATGAGCATGAATATGCAAGTGGGATTATAGAATTTATTGTATAGAAAATGAGCAATGGTGTATGCCAAATTGTGTGGCTACAAGTTGCCTGGTGAGTTCCTGCAACAGGTTGTTGTTCCATCACCTTGTTTCTTAAGTCTCTCATCCAAGCTGGAACCCATGTTAGCCACTGTAACACCAGACACAGGAAGTAATAGTTCCACCACATGTGCTAGATGACCAGATTAGTCCTCCTTCGGGACATATTTATCTTGCTGTGTTGACGTAGTCTGTGTAACTCATTTAGAGAGCAAATCCTGACAGACACTGCATCAAGCAGACCTGCCTTTCACATTATATATGTTTTTGCTTGAAATAACTATGTTGGTGTTTCTGCCTGTTTGAACCAGGTGCAGATATCAGCAGCTTGGATGATAAACCTATCTTCCTCAACCTGTGTGCAAGGTTTCCTGCTTGTGCCCTCTCAGGCCACTGTTATCTCATCCAGCTGAAATAAATTATGATTGATTATTTTCAAACCTCAGGAAAGTGTACACAACGTCTGTTTATCTTAACCAGGCGTTAAGTTTCCAGATTGACATGAGTAGATTAACCTTATGTGCTATGGGTTAGTCTTTATAGTTCTCAACTTTTGCGAAAGAAAATATTTTATCATTTGTCAAAGAATTAAATACATTAAATGCAGGCTTCCGAGGTGAGATGTTGAACTACCAAGTATGACAAAACTTGAGAGCCTACCATCTACATTTCTGGCTATGCTGTCCATATGACAGCACGTGACCTTCAGCCTTATTGACACAGAATATGAAGGATAATATTCCTGCACTTGACACAAATCAAAGGTCTGTTGGCCTTGTAATGTAATCGTCCCTTAGTGACTGTCAGTATCTTCACATCCGTAAATATATTCATTTTATGTGACACAATAGCCTAGCAGTAACATTTTGCTTTTTGATGGAATGTCAGCCATGTCTGTTTTGGGAACTGGCAAAAGAATGTTGGACAATTGCTATTACCTTCTGTATGTTGAGTTTCAAATTGTCCAGATATGATTTCTTTAGACAAGACAAAGTTTGCAGTTTATGTTCCCAGTATCATGTTCCAATTTAATGTTAAAGGTGAAATCTTACATAGATAATTGTTCTTCATGATCAATTGATGACGCTCTCAGGGATTGTATTATGTGCATCCTACTGAAACTAACTTTCGGAAATAACAAACGTGAACCAGTGACCTTACCCTTGACCTTGACCTGCTCATTTCACACACACAACCACCACCACCACCCAGGTTAGTACTCACCATCAGGATATACATTTAGAGGATCAAATATTCCCAAAAAGCGAGATAAATTTTCATCTAAAGTGTCATCGTGGTTTGAGTCAAGTCCCCTAAAATAAGTTAACCTATGTTGTGTGGCTGTCTGCAGTTAGTGGTAATGTTACTATGTGGTATAATTTCAATAGATTTATTTGGTTAATGATATGTACAGCGTAATGACCACATCTTTTCTCTGAAGACTATTAGTTTTAACATGGCAGAGGTCAGAAGTCCAGATTTCAAGACTGTTTCAGGGCTGATGTATGTCATGGCGTATGAGTTCCAGATGCTGACACTGGGAAAACCTGAAGCTTTAAGCAATAAACTTCACCAGAAAGATCACACAGATCAAACACTGGAATTCGAAATATTTTGTTGTTTGCAAGTCCAACTGACAGGTTTCAGTTTTGGGTTTGCCAGGGGATATTAGAATATGTTCAAATGTGAAATATCTTTGTGAACTTCTGGAGCAGGAAATATGTGGCAGTGATTATGTTTTTCAACCCATAGTTTGGGATTAGTGTATAATGTGATTATTTAATTAACTTTTTGACTTTCTGTACCAGATCATGTTTCATGCTTGACAGCTAGAAAGCAGTATCAATCCTGCACATTTTGTCAAACCAGTTTCTGTCAAGTAATCACATTAAAGCATTCCTTAAACCTAGATTGTGACAGGTATTATTCCCATGTAAATGCAGGCTTACACCACACCTTGTACAGTGTATATCTGGGCTATATTGTCCGCTTGCCACACTTAAGGAAAGAAAATTGGCCAACTAGACTTTACAATGACACTATCATTCAGTCTTCCTTCTTGACTTCAGATCCAATTATTCCAGGGTTGCTTGCACAAAGTAATCTCTGTACTATGACAGTCGTAACTTCCAAATTCATACAACAGTCGTAGCGCTAAGATCGTTAAGTGCAAGTGGACTGAGGTCAGTGTGACAAAAATGATTGACAAGCTAAATATGTGGTCAGTATTTGTAGAACATGAACATTTTAGATTTGTATAATCCCTGAGACCTTCCGAAGGTGAATAAACTTTCCCTGTAATTTCAAGGATGTATTTTCAAATCTGAAAATAATGTGTTCAGATTGTGAAAACCTAAAGATGTATTCAATTTGCCTGAAGCTACATATAAGTCATTCTACATTTGGTATTCGTGCCTCAATTGATGGCAGATTTGTATGAAAAAGTGTAAGCAATTTCAAATTTGATTTGTGAGTGAGTCACTCCTTGCAAGGTAAATATAGTATTGATGTGTGGGTGTGGAGACTCACCTGACACGTGACCTATTATATGTACTTGGTAGCAGGTACTCCAGCGCTAGCAGCTTGACTTCTACGTGTGTATATGTTTGATGAAGGGATTATTAAGATGGATGTAGTTCTATGTAAGATGTAGTGTGTATGATTGATTGTCTGCTTCCTGTGAAAGTGATGGATGATATTCAATGGTTAATAATGCCATTCTCTCAGACAATGCCTTTGTTGTGATGTACAACACATGACAGAATTATAATATGTTCTATTTCATCTGTAAGTATTCCCGTTTACCGGTAATTACCATTTTTTTCCAGTAAAATTAGGCTTGGACCAGTAGTTCATGTGACTGGCAGTCCCTGTGGACTCGCAAATAAAGTACCTTATACATGTACATCTGTGATATTCATATAAGTATATTTTTGAACGAAGTCAGCTTTTGTCGATTTTTAGTGCAAGGAAATGACATTTTGCTTTGCTTCAAGGTTAAAAATATATTTGTAGTGACTTCGTCTTGAAATATTAAAAAAAAGAAGAGAAAATTGTGACTGAACTTTGTGTGAATGATGTGTAGATCTAAGTTACTTCAAAGATGACATCATTGCATTGAACATGATGTTGAAAGAATTAAAACCAGGTAATTTTCATATGTTTTGTTGTTGTTGAAAGTTAGGGGTACTGGTAATGTTTAGAGTTACCAGTCCACCAGGACTGGCAGTTTCAAGAGCCAGCGGGAACACTGATCCGTGTGTGAACATAATTATACATGAATAAGATTCACATGGAATTTTATTGCTACATGAATAATTGTGGATCTCAACCAAAACCCAACCAGTCTCACATCAGGTACCTTTCATTTAGCTTTATGATGGCAAGTTTCAGTGTGTAAATGGAACAAGACGCTATGAAGCTGTGTTCTGTATTCATTTATGATTAATCCATGTAATCTGTCTGTCCTGACATTAAACTGATTAAAGTGTGACATGTGTATTGAATGTGAGTTCTCTCACCTGCAAGTGCCATGGAACTTCAACCCTAACCTGCTATAGCACTGTTACTGTACAAACAATAGACTTAATACTCGATTGTAAGGTGTGATGTCATTGATTTACCAAACACAAAGAATGTGGTCATGCATGGCTGACCAAGGGTGAAGTATGGGTTTCACAGCTGGTTGACTTGTCTATTGTCTGCCCCCACCCTGTCAATATTGCAACACATCAGATATGGGGGAAATTATGCAATGTTGCATCCTATCTTCACATGCTGGTGATGCAGTAGGTAGATACATAGATTTATACCCTGGGCAACAGCAGGATCTGGAGTCCTCATGCGCAGATAATGCCTTAATATGCATCTTGTTATTCAGTGCCCGGCTTATGCTTGTTGCCATTTTGAGAAGATTGCATACCACTGCACATCTCAACCACATTTTGTTTAGCCTTGGAAGTTATAAAAAAACCATATAATTTATTTCCTGAATTTGATTGCATCAACAATAAAAATGAGAAAGAAACAAGTAAATTCAGCTGATTATGTATTTGTTCAGCCAATGTTGGCTGTGGGTTTCTTTCACCTGGAGGATAAATGAAGAGTGTACTATATTGATTTGGTTGTAAGGTCAGATTATGTGCTGACAGAGGAGGTTAGTTTTGAGACTACATTTTTGAAAACAAATCGTGAAGTTTATATATAAACTGTTCAAAATGAGGGTCAAGATGATATTATTAGATATGATTCCATTATTAGTGGATCAGTCTAACTTGTCGCCCCTGAATGAACCAAGCTAGTAAATTATTCTTATATGGTTGAAATCAGTAACAGGCCAGAACATTATTCCACTCAAGACAATGTACATAGTATGCTGAGGTGAACAGAGTAGTCAGTGCATTGGTTAGGTGCTGCTTTCCATCCACTATGTGGTCATGCTCAAAGCACACTCAATATGCAAAGCGCTAAGGTACAGCAAGTAGTTACATAATGTCATTATAGGTTGTGTTGTATGCTGGTTCAAATTGCACTGACAAATATGAAATGAATTTGGACTGCTAGTGTGAAGTCGTAGAGAGCCGAGAGGTGCAGACCACAGCCCAAGTGGTTGATGAGGATGTTTACTGTTTGTAAAAATATCCTTCAGAACGTTGCTGACAAACAGTGATCCTGGCAGCTGATGGTTACAGCAGGTTGGCAGTACCTTGTTCAAATGAAACAAAAATATAGAACAAACTGGATCAGGTTGTGTGTTAAAGGGAACTGTCTTTGATCAGGTGACCAAGCATTGTTTGGGGAGCGATGTATTGACGAATCTTTTTCCATGCTCAGCACAATACATTCCCAAACTCAACCTATATCGCACATGATACATTTTTTGTAGAAGTCA